CCTTGTGACCAAATAAGATTGTAAAGGCGTAATAGGGCTGCAAGGGCTGACTGATGTAAATGTTTAGCATACGAATATGAATGTCGTCGGCCCAGCTGCCGATGATCGACAACTGAGAGTGTTGCCTCCAGTTCTTGAAAATGAAAAGGCACATTATACTGTTCTTCTCTGAGAGAAGAAAAGTCCAAAGGTGCTAACTCCTGGCAGACTTTGAGGAAAGAAATGAGGGCATAATGGAGTCCCTGAGAAATACGGACCCAATGATTGCCAATTTTTATTGCAACATCTAGTGGGTTTGCTATATCAACACCGGCAACCCGCGAACAGGAGCCGGGTCAGGAGAAATATTTACCACTCATTTTCGTACTTTTTTCCAGACTGCATCATAAAAGGAAGCAGAGGTGATGGTGGAGACATAATTTCGCCAGCAAGTGCGTTTAGCGTCATGGAGACACGGGGAGCGATCGCACGCTTCTGTTTAAATCAGGAGTCCTCTGTGGTTCTATTGTACCGGTACCTGCCCATGCAGGCGTTTCAAACGTACTGCACAGCACAAGCAGGAGACACAAGCAAGCATTTGAGAATGCCTGCCCGAAGTTTGGGGTATAGAATAGAAGCTCCGTGAAAACGAGGACGAGAAAGGTGTAAAAGCTCATCGATTGGAGGACAAGAAGGAAACCTCTTTTAAAAACAGTCAGTGGAGTAAAGGGTTTAATTTGGCCCGATTAAAATTGCCACTTGGTGCGAAAGGGGCGAAATAAAGGGGGAATAAAAATATTGGAAATGTCACTGTCATGTAAGCCGGGAGAACAGACCAAGTAAAGTCAATGCGGCGGGGGAAGAGCAAACTGAGAGATCTTCAAGAGAGTTGAGTCCCGAGAGACCCAAAAAGGGTTGAGTACCTGTAATTTTAAAACATGGAGGGGTGGGGGCAAGAAAAGCCTCTAACTGAATCCACGGAATCACAGTGAACCTCCCCAGAGGAAATGGTGGCATTAAAATCACCAAGTAACGAATCGGTGGCGGTAATGACGAACAAGGAAGGCAAAATCCGGAATAAAGAAATGCCCGAGAAGAGAAGAGATATAAAAAACAGACGTAAAACCACCTATGGGAGTGGATACGGGTGCTGTTTAAGCATGCGAAGTATGAATAAATAGCTGATGGACGGAATAATCAGTGCGAGAAGAAGGGCACTTTCATTAAAGGGCCCATCAGGAAAAGGACAAAGAATACAATAATTATAGCCTGAGTGTGAGAAATAACAGCAGAGTGTAATTTTGGTTCCTGTAAGCAAACAAAAAACAGGGGCAAACTGGAGAGTAACACTGAAGCTCACCCCATTACCCCTGAGGCCGCTAATTCCTGTAAAAAGGCCATGATTGGCAATGAAAAAAGATTCTTGAAATCCGCAGGAAGGCCTACGGCTAAAGGGTAGAAAAGTCCACATGCGGAGCATGGAAAATGTTCAAGCAGGCGAGGAAGGTGCCTGTGAAGAAAGGAGTTGCGCATATGGAGCAGAAAGGGGAGAAAAGAAGCGGAAGGTGGTCAGTGTCCATTGATGGTTTGGTCTCTGAATATATTCAGAGATTGTTCAAGGTTTCGGAATCAAAATGTCGAAGGGAGAAATATGGGGGTGGTAGGGGGAGGATGAGTAAGATGGAACTGGATTGACTGTACCAGGTAGGGGGGGCAAAAGGGTGGGGGAAAATGGAAACATGGCAGGGGACAGAAGAGACAGGGAAAATGGGGGTGGCAGAAGGGGAAAAAACTTGGGAGGGAACAGGGGAAGGAAGGTACATTACGAGGAGGGTGACCTCTGCATTGTAACTGAGCCATGAGAGGGGAAAACAGGACGAGACAGGGAGGAAAATTAGGAGGTGGAAGATGGGTAGGAGGTTGTTACCGGACTTTTTTGACTTTAAAGTAGAGGGACATTGGGAAGAGGGGTCGTACGAAGGTCTCGTCGAACTGGGCTTGAAGAGAGAAACTCGAAGAAGGGGGAGATTAGACCTGAAAGGGGTTGAAGTAGGGACGTCTGAGTCCAGGAGCAAAGGATTAGATACAGGAGTGATTATGGGAGAGGTAACCACAGGGGGTGTGAAAAATGGATCCAGAAGTGGGGGACGTTTTGAAACACGAATAAGGAAACACGGGGAGTCCTCCCTTGGAGGCGGAGATGAGAAACTGCCATGGCATAGGGAGACCTCTGTCCTTTGAGGTAACGGATTTCCCCTCGTTTAAATAGACTACAACGGAGAGGTACGAAGGGTGAACTCATGACAGTTAAGGCAAGGGGATCGATTGCAAGAACGAATTAGAATGGCATGGCAACCACAGACTGGGCATTCGGCCCATAGACTGCAATATTTCGCTGGTGGCCAAATCGACCAGCAATTTCTACACTGTTTGTGGTGTAGGGATCACCTTTCGAACTTGTAAACCGATGTCCCTGCAATATAAACGGAGGATGGGAGGGTTTTTCGGCTGTCAAAGTTTAAACGAGCCACATTCTAGGTACGTCTCCGCCCACGGCAGAAGAAACGTAAGTGTCTAACCCTTTAGGATTGGGAGATCTTGGAGTTCCAGCTGTTTTTAGAATGTCGGTGCCACATGTCGGAAATTTTGTTGAACTGGTATGGGGGCAGAAAACGGTACCACTACAAGAATTGAGGGAATGATGTTTTTCAAGGGTACAGGAACAGTATCTATATGGGAAAGACGAGAGAGCTCACGAGCCTGGGTAGCATTCTGTACGGGAATGATGCCGTACCGCTCTTAAGAGCATGAAAAGAAATATCTTTACCAACATGGCGTAGGAGTGCCTTGCCAATACTATGGTCAGAAAGATAGGCAGTAGGAAGTTGGGTCGTAAAGTGAAGAATTTTGTCCACCCGTTCATCTGAAACTGAGCGTGGAAAGGGAGTGAAGGACGTGTCGATCGTTTCTGAGAAAACGAAAGGTGAAGGTGGAGAAGTATCATCAGCAGGTAATTGCGTTGACGTTTAGGCGTGGGACCAGAGTTGGTCCGACGTGGAACGGGTCGGCGATTTGAAAATTGCCGCACCGTAGAGGGAGAGGCCGGAAGCATAGTCAGAGGAGAGCGAAGGTCTGATAAATCGAAGGAGTCAGTCGAGGCCTCAGTACCTGAAGCGGTGAGGAAACAGCACCGGCAATAGGTACAGAGGCATGAGGGAAAGTCTGAAGAGTGGTCCCAAAGACGAGGCGGGTCAAACGGGTGCGGTATCAAGAAGGGGCCCGGGGTACCAGGTTCATGGACTAGGGCTGCCATGGTTAGGTTACTTCTTTTTTTTTTTTAAGAAAAAAAAAAAAGAAAAGAAAATAAAAATAAAAAAAAGAAAAAAAAAGGGGGGACCGGGGAGGGATAGTTCCTAGGGGGAATGAAAGGGCCAGAAATCTCCCTCCGCGCCCAAGAGGGCTCGACACCGCTAGTAGCGCAGATGCACATGGGAAACCCCTGCCATACCCTACCCTTCATGCCAGTAAACCACAATCTGGGATAGCAACCTCACATCTGCCGAGCTACCTCGGTGGACAAAAGAGAGGGCGGCCGGATATCCGCCACAAAGCATACCTCCTTCAGCCACCACCCCCGGAATCCGAAAGGTGGGTTCCAGAATACACCCGTCGCCCAAAAGACACCTAAAGCTACCCGGGATACCGGAGAGGATCGGACATCCCTAGGCAATCCAATTCCACGGCAAACTACGCCACCGCCAAGAAACCTCAACGGAATGGGATGGACCCCGGTGTCCTTTCCCCCACCCAGGAACTAGCGCGCCTGTGGGAGAAATCACGAAGGCTAAAAAGAGGAAGGGCAAAAGGGAGGGGTGAGGAGGAGGAGGAGGAATGGAAAAAGGGGAGGATGGGGAGGATGGGATAGGGGAGGGGAGAATGGGGGGTAATTAGGTTCGGTCTGAGGAAGAAGACCGACAGGGCTAATTCCTCAGACCAATCAGTGACAGTAGATTTCATACAAGGGATCAAAAAAATAGATATGACAGTTATAATATGTCAGTCTGTTGAAAGGTACAAGACAGAAACTTGATCAAGATCTCTAGGTACTGTAATTACAAACAGGCATTTTACACACACACAAAACACCATTCTTTAGTAAACTTGACTGGCACCTTGAGTTAAAACAAACGTACTTCCTTGCAAAGTATCTCAGCCAGGAATAAAACCTCAGTTTGGATGAGATGATCTTGTACTTGACATCTTGCCTAATTGAGGCTGAAGTCCAGGTTGGGGCACTTAGACCTGTAAGGCTAATATTCCCATGGATGTAAATAACAGCTGCTACATACTGCTACACTGAACTACAGGCAAACATTCAAGAGGAAAAAATAAAGTTCCTGAAGGGGTTCATACAGTGGGAAATGGAATTTTTTAATCTTTTAAATATTTCTTTGGTATGTAATGCATCAAACTGCTAACCTTTAACAAGATTATTATTGATTTTTTTTATTAAATTATAATTCTCAATGAAAAGAAATAAGATCTCAAACCTTTAAATGACAGATATGACCTAGACAGAAAATTGAAAATGAAGCCGTGTATATAATGATGAAATGTGCAGAACGTTTGAAAACAATTGCAAGATGCAAAGACTTTAAAACTGGGCGACAAGAATATTTTTTTGCTAAGAAATTAATTAATGTCTTGCCATAATTTTTTACTGTTGGTTAAATAGTTTTGAAATAATTGCAGTTTAACAATTATGGTACTCATTACAGTATTATAATAAAATAACAATAGAAATTCCCTGAGCACTTTCGTACATAGATGTTTCTCCAAAGATCTTTGTAAATGTACAATGTCCTCAGTTGTTTTTCCCCTCTATAGTATTTCATATTTGTAGTCATGTACAGTATTTTACCGATTTCTTGTCATATATTCTAATGTAGAATGATTCTGTGCTTACTGTGAAAATGTAGAAAATATAAGGTACAGTACAGGTATTACATAAACAGCAAATGTATTTTTCACCCGAGTAACTGGTTATACGACTTTATTTTTCATAAAAAAAAAGTTGTAATCTAGTTGTGCATCAAATTCCATTCATTATCATAAGCTCTCCTTTGTCATGGTATCAATGGACTGTATATTACAATGACAGATCAATTATAGTTGAAGTCTAATTTCTGCCCCTTAACTCTCAAAAATTCATGTTTAATCCTATACAGCATCTGTAGTTTACCAACAATTTCAAAGTTATGCCTTGGAAAGATTTTTTTAAATTATTACTGCATGAAGAAAAACTTGGAGTGTTGTACCTTTCATTCACATTGCAAACTGCTTTAAATTTAAGCTTTTTTAAGTACAATTTACCTTCTTCCAGCGAGTATGAATATCTAGCGGTAAAAAATCAATATTAAAATTGGCAGCATATTCCAGTCGCTCTTAAAGTGTACATATAAGGAGCCACTTGTTTAATTTCTCCTTTGTGCTAAGTGACATCATTACACCTGGAAGTTAATTATCTGTATTATCTAGCAAGCTTTATAAAGCTTGTTATGCACTAGTACTTCTCTAAGCTATTGGTGAACATTTGTAGCCAAGTAACCATAGCGTATTGAGCAGCTATATTGTACAGGGTCCCAAAACTCTGCACCCATAAGAAATATTGGTGTTATATTCATCAAAAGTTATACATTCCTAATGTCGGTTTTACACATTTCAAAATTTCAAAATACCCTGATGGGTCACTGGCATTCTTAATAGGTTTTGGAAGACCCAGAGTGAAACATACATTCTTATTCTACCCCCCCCCCCTCCAAAAAAAAAAAAAAAATCATAAATTCATTAAAAAAAAAAAATCCCAAGAATTAATATGTAGCACTGTTAATGGATTTGATAATAAATTAATTAAATGTAAATTGTGAATGTATCTCTTCAGGTCCAGACTTCTGGGACACCTAGTACATTATATTAACTAAATTAAAAATTAAAATGCAGATTAAAACATTGACACTGCTGACCATAAACAATGTTTATGTCGAGAGAGCCAGATACTATAAGCAAATCAAATCTGTTTTACAAGAAAGTGAAATATCTAGGTATCTGGCAATCAATTTTAAGATTAATAAACTTATCAATTCAATTCTTTCAAATACAGTACTGGATGTCAGAATATAAATGGTCAGTCATATTCAGGGTTTGATCAGTGATTGTGTATAGCACCTTACATAGTGATTTAGTATATTGACTTATAGTTTTAATTTAATACCTTACATAGTTACCTACTTTTTAATATTAAAAAAAAAATTCTAAATATTAGCAATTATCACCATATTTTACTTATTACATTAGTGCTGATATTCTCTGTCCAATCTTCATATAAGTATTTAAGTTAGTGTTAAGAGTTTGACTGACCCAGTAGCAACAACAATGGCCTCACCACAAACTACCACAGCACTTTCTACTTCATTACCATTCTCAAATTTATAGTCAAAGACCAGAACCACACATATCTTTATGAAAATGGCTGTTTGAGTTAAGTTTCCTGGGAACAAATGTTTTTTCTATCATATGCTACAGGCATTGATTTAATGGGCTGCAGCATGATTGCAGGCACAAGTATCTTTTATGTCAATAAAGGAAACATCTAAACCTATGGAAAGATCAATATTTTATTACTGTATTCTATAAAATGAAAAAGAAAAATATAAGCTTTCCTAACACAAGGACACAAATTAAATTTCAACAGTGAAAAGGAAGCCTTAAAAATAGTGCCATTTAATGACAAAACTTTCCTTAAGTGTAATTTAAATGATTATGATATGTTACCATATTACTGTCCTCCATTCATGTTGTTAATTTTATAGTAAGGGGTGTGGCAATGGGGAAGCTGTTCACGATTCATATGAAACTAACATTTTCCAAAATACTATATACTACAAATTTATATATATATATATAAAAAAAAATCTTTTCAATGACGCAAACATCCTAACCACAACAACAAATACGACATATTCACTGCTCCCACTTGAGCTGGAAGAGGTGTGATAAAGTAACTTAAGCAGGTGTCGGAGAAGCTCCATCCACCAGAGGATCCTTCATGTTGCCTGGCCGTGTCGAGTTCTGAGCAGCAGCTATCATGTCATCCCTGGAGCCTCTATGGAGGAATTGATTTAGTGTTATCACAGCACACTTTATCACTCCAGAATGTTTTAGCACAGCAAAAAAATTAGGTCCAAAAGCATTATGATAAAAAGAAAAGACTACAACTCAGTTTTCTTTTAGAATTCTAGTCAAGTATTTCCTGAGCCTGTCTTTCATTTTCAGTAAATTATTAATACAAAATTCCAGACCAGCTGAAAAATATAAAGCATTTAAAAGCAGTATGCACACAAGTATTTACAGTTCTAGCTTGAGAAAAAATTAACAAAAAACTAATCTAAAACACTGAAATCACAAGAAATCATTAATAGTTCAGCAAAAAATACTCAAAGGCGCTTAAGGAGGAAAACAATTTTATAAAAGTAAAAACTTGCAAATACTAATGAAAATGAATCCTACTGAAAAAATTACATTATAGTATACTTATGATAAATTAGTAAAGGTTAGCCTAAACACAATAGAACATCAGCAATCCTGTTTGCTTGGTGCCGAATCATCAATAATTTAGTCCATGCAGGACCATCACAAAAAAATTGCAAATACAGTAGCATATACAAAACTTTCAAATAAATGAAAAACAAATTTTCAGATTCCTAATCATACTAATTTTCATATATTTATTGGACAATAAATAATTCCTAATGAATATTGGCCAGAATACTGATGATCTACTGTATTCCAATAATAGTCTGTTAATTTATTCTTATAGAAGCTCAGCCATATGGTCAAAATTAGGTTTCAACCCTATTCCAATGGTCAAGCACATCAAAAAGTATCATGCTTTTTCTGTTGACAGACAGTATAAATTGGATGTTTTAAAAGTGAAATTTAAAAATTTGTTAAGTAAAGCACATTTAATTTCTTCAAGGATAATAAAGCACGATCCAAAAATACAAAATAAATTTTATGTTGAAACCACAGAAATGTATCACTAAAATCTAACAATTATTAAGAAAAGAAGAGAGATCATATAATTGCCAAAATCAATTCAACAAAAAAGATAAATGAATACTGATATAAATCTTACAAAATACCACAAAAATTTACATGCACGATTAATAGAGAAAATTATGTTGATCACATGTACTAGTACAAACTAAGTTAAAAAGAAACTGACCATTAAAAATAGGACTACCAAATATATAATAATAAGTATATGAAAGGTAAGGGTAAGACACTAGCTAAAGCAGATACTTAACATGCAAGTTATAATACTCTTGCCGACACTAAGCCAACCTTTGACAATTTACTGGCTACTGCCCATGCCTATACTACAAGAAGAATTTGAAACCAACATGTAAGCGGTTGTTATCAAAACGATGGATGGTAGTTGTTATAAAACTGTTAGCTGGTTCAAGTGGAGCGCCAGGCTTCAGGGTCATCCACCAAGATAGCACTTTGAGAGTTGGCCGGCCCAGTGTTTTGCTGAGCTGCAGCGATCATATCCTCCCGACTTCCCCTAATATACAGTATCATTACTTGGTGATTAGAAAAAGTCTTAAGTTTTAAAATATCCATGCTTTGATAGGCACATTATATTATTTTTGTTGTCATGCTGGATGCCACTGGACTACAGATTATCAGAATTATATCAAATCATATACACGTGATGGGCACGTATTTTTAAACAAACAAGGATAGGCGGTGGGCAAGAGATGTAATGTATATTACTGTACACATGTATATATGTAGCTACTGTACAATAATTTCTAACTAGAATATTGAGTGCTATTGATGAAATCAGCCAATTATGGAGAAGTAAGTCACAGTACCATGTTTGGATTTCACAATTAATCCACATTTTGGAGAGGAAACCTAAGGTATCTTGATCAATCCTATCCCATTATAAAGTCATAATTGAGTATGATCCTGGATGGACCAAAACAATGTCTAGCATTTCCTTTCTAAAGTGGGTAGGGATGATCAAAGGCTTATAGGCTGATGTATTATTATATTTTTATTTTATTATCACACTGGCCGATTCCCACCAAGGCAGGGTGGCCCGAAAAAGAAAAACTTTCACCATCATTCACTCCATCACTGTCTTGCCAGAAGGGTGCTTTACACTACAGTTTTTAAACTGCAACATTAACACCCCTCCTATTATTATTATTATTATTATTATAATAATTATTATTATTATAATAAAAAAGAAGCGCTAAGCCACAAGGGCTATACAGCGCTGCAGGGTAGGGAAGGAAGCGAGGGTATTGGATGGCAGAAGGGAGGAGGGATGATCAGTAGGTTACAGAAAACAGCGGGGCAGGGAATAGTACGGGGGTAGGGGGTAGCAAGAGATTGAAGTAGAAAGGGCTGAAGGTATCAGAATTCGTGAAGTAAGTCAGTTGTTGTCAAAAAGTCAATGAGAGAGTCTGGATGAAAGGTGGGTCCATCAGCGAGAAGGGAAGGTAAAGAGAGCAGCAGAGCGAAGACGACGACGGAGGTAAATTCTGCGTGCTCGTTGATAAAGTGGGCAGTCCAACAGAATGTGGCTGATTGATAATGGAACTTGGCAATTCTCACAGAGAGGAGCAGGGCGCCTCTCCATGAGATATCCATGAGTAAGACGAGTATGGCCAATGCGAAGACAGGAGAGAGTAGTCTCCCAACCTCGACACTGGTGATAAGAAGACGGCCAGTAACCTATACTCGGTTTAATAGATTGAAGTTTGTTGCCGAGCATAGTAGACCAACGTTGTTGCCAACGGGTGTGAAGTTGGGAAGATATTGCAGCAAAATAGTCCGTAAATGGAATACCTCTACATGAAACTGGTAGGTCATGTACTGCTGACCGCGCAGCAGTGTCTGCCTGTTCATTGCCCTGTACGTCAACATGACCAGGGACCCAACAAAAAACAATATCTTTATGCTTGGTAAAGATGCGGCGTAGCCAAAGTTGGATACGGAGGACTAAGGGGTGAGGTGTATCAAATTTCTGTATAGCCTGTAAAGCACTAAGGGAGTCTGAGACAACCACAAATGATGACACAGGCATAGATGCAATACGGATAAGTGCTGTAAGGATGGCATACAATTCAGCAGTAAAAATACTAGCCGAAGATAGTAAATGCCCTTGTACGACGCTGTCCGGAAACACTGCTGTGAATCCTACGCCGTCAGAAGACTTAAAGCCATCTGTGTACACAGCAATGGCATGAGAATGAGAGTGAAAGTGGTCAAGAAAATGAGAGCGGGAAGCGACCGTAGACAGTTGGGCTTTTGAGCAAAGGAGAGAGAAAGAACAGACTCGAACAGCTGCAACTTCCCAGGGGGGTAGGGAAAAGTGAGATGCTACATGTACATAGAAAGGTGGTAATTGAAGAGAAGACAAGAGCGAATGAAGGCGAAGAGAGAAGGGATGGAGTAAACAGGGGCGGCGAACAAATAAAGAATGTCTACTAATATCAGTGACCATTCTATAAATGGAAGGATTGCGGAGATCATGAGAGCTTACATAGTAGCGAAGGCAATGGGCATCACGGCCATCGGATAAGGATGGAACGTTCGCTTCTGCATAGAGGCTCTCGACAGGGGAAGAGCGAAAAGCACCAAGGCATAAACGTAATCCTTGGTGATGAATGGGGTTAAGGCTAGAGAGAGTAGCAGGAGATGCCGCTGAATAGATCTGGTCACCATAATCAAGTTTCGATAAGATAAGGGTGGAATGTAGGCGAAGGAGGGTTCGACGATCAGCTCCCCATGAAAGATGAGCAAGGGTTTCAAGGAGGTTCAGCCGGCTGTGGCAAGTTGCCTTCAGAGAGGTAATGTGAGATTTCCAGGATAACCTACGATCAAAGAGGAGGCCCAGAAACTTGACAGTATCACGTTCAGGGATACGGGAGCCATAGAGGTACAAAGGATGATCGGAGATGACAGAGCGTCTAGTGAAAGTAATTTGGTGGGTTTTAGTGCTGGAAAATTTAAACCCACGTGTGGTGGCCCAATTGGAAACACGGTTGACTGCATGCTGGAGAGAAACTGTAATAAGGTGACAGTCAGCGCCTGCACAGGCAATAGCGAAGTCATCAACATAGAGTGATGACCAAATATTTGATGGAAGACTAGAGGCTCCAATGAGTACAAGCAATTAATTCTTTCAAATAAATCTTATTCCTACTAGAATTACACAAATATTTGCTCCATTTTTACCATTTTCATTACATAATTTCAAAAAGTGAGTGTAAAACGGAAGCCTGTACTTGTTTTATGTGATGGTAGGATTGCTGGTGTCTTTTCTCTGTCTCATAAACTTGCAAGATTTCAGGTATGTCTTGTTACTTCTACTTACACTTAGGTCACACTATACATACATGTACAAGCATGCATGCACACACACACACACACACACACACACACACACACACACACACACACACACACACACACACACACACACTGGTGGAATGATGAAGTAAAGGGTGTGATAAAAGAGAAAAAGGTAGCTTACGAGAGGTTTTTACAAAGCAGAAGTGTTATAAGAAGAGCAGAGTATATGGAGAGTAAAAGAAAGGTGAAGAGAGTGGTGAGAGAGTGCAAAAAGAGAGCAGATGATAGAGTGGGAGAGGCACTGTCAAGAAATTTTAATGAAAATAAGAAAAAATTTTGGAGTGAGTTAAACAAGTTAAGAAACCCTAGGGAAAGTATGGATTTGTCAGATAAAAACAGAGTAGGGGAATTAGTAGATGGGGAAAGGGAGGTATTAGGTAGATGGCGAGAATATTTTGAGGAACTTTTAAATGTTGAGGAAGAAAGAGAGGCGGTAATTTCATGCACTGGCCAGGGAGGTATACCATCTTTTAGGAGTGAAGAAGAGCAGAATGTAAGTGTGGTGGAGGTACGTGAGGCATTATGTAGAAGGAAAGGGGGTAAAGCAGCTGGAACTGATGGGATCATGACAGAAATGTTAAAAGCAGGGGGGGGATATAGTGTTGGAGTGGTTGGTACTTTTGTTTAATAAATGTATGAAAGAGGGGAAGGTACCTAGGGATTGGCAGAGAGCATGTATAGTCCCTTTATATAAAGGGAAAGGGGACAAAAGATTGTAAAAATTATAGAGGAATAAGTTTACTGAGTATACCAGGAAAAGTATACGGTAGGGTTATAATTGAAAGAATTAGAAGTAAGACAGAATGTAGGATTGTGGATGAGCAAGGAGGTTTCAGAGTGGGTAGGGGATGTGTAGATCAAGTGTTTACATTGAAGCATATATGTGAACAGTATTTAGATAAAGGTAGGGAAGTTTTTATTGCATTTATGGATTTAGAAAAGGCACATGATAGAGTGGGTAGAGGAGCAATGTGGCAGATGTTGCAAGTATATGGAATAGGTGGTAAGTTACTAAATGCTGTTAAGAGTTTTTATGAGGATAGTGAGGCTCAGGTTAAGGTGTGTAGAAGAGAGGGAGAATACTTCCCAGTAAAAGTAGGTCTTAGACTGGGATGTGTAATGTCACCATGGTTGTTTAATATATTTATAGATGGGGTTGTAAAAGAAGTAAATGCTAGGGTGTTCGGGAGAGGGGTGGGGTTAAATTATGGGGAATCAAATTCAAAATGGGAATTGACAGTTACTTTTTGCTGATGATACTGTGCTTATGGGAGATTCTAAAGAAAAATTGCAAAGGTTAGTGGATGAGTTTGAGAATGTGTGTAAAGGTAGAAAGTTGAAAGTGAACACAGAAAAGAGTAAGGTGATGAGGGTATCAAATGATTTAGATAAAGAAAAATTGGATATCAAATTGGGGAGGAGGAGTATGGAAGAAGTGAATGTTTTCAGATACTTGGGAGTTGACGTGTTGGCGGATGAATTTATGAAGGATGAGGTTAATCATAGAATTGATGAGGGAAAAAAGGTGAGTGGTGCATTGAGGTATATGTGGAGTCAAAAAACGTTATCTATGGAAGCAAAGAAGGGAATGTATGAAAGTATAGTAGTACCAACACTCTTATATGGAAGTGAAGCTTGGGTGGTAAATGCAGCAGCGAGGAGACAGTTGGAGGCAGTGGAGATGTCCTGTCTAAGGGCAATGTGTGGTGTAAATATTATGCAGAAAATTCGGAGTGTGGAAATTAGGAGAAGGTGTGGAGTTAATAAAAGCATTAGCCAGAGGGCAGAAGAGGGGTTGTTGAGGTGGTTTGGTCATTTAGAGAGAATGGATCAAAGTAGAATGACATGGAAAGCATATAAATCTATAGGGGAAGGAAGGAGGGGTAGGGGTCGTCCTCGAAAGGGTTGGAAAGAGGGGGTAAAGGAGGTTTTGTGGGCAAGGGGCTTGGACTTCCAGCAAGCGTGCATGAGCGTGTTAGATAGGAGTGAATGGAGACTAATGATACTTGGGACCTGACGATCTGTTGGAGTGTGAGCAGGGTAATATTTCGTGAAGGGATTCAGGGAAACCGGTTATTTTCATATAGTCGGACTATATGAAAATAACCGGTTTCCCTGAATCCCTTCACTAAA